AAAGTTATTATAAAGGGAAAATGATGTGTGCACACCCGGATCCAACACCTGGGTGTGCACACCTCCACATAAAAAAAAAAAAACCCAACTGGTTGTTCTCTTTTTTTTTTTTTTTTTTGATAAGCAGACAAGAAATTTTTATCGAGTACAGGAGGTACTCCAATCCTTGAAGCTGTTGGGTTATCTTATCTAAAACAGCTACAAACATTCTAATACTTACAGAAAATAAGAATTCAAGGAAAAGTTTTGACTTTGCCAGCTCATGGCAAAGCCAAATCATTGCAGCTAAAAGAGAAGATACATCCATCTTACCTCAATGTAACTTACAATTGCACTTATATCAGCTCCATCTGCATCTTTTATGTTGGTGAGAGCTTCAAAAATCATTGCATTATACCTGGTAGAATGAAGAAAAAAGAATACACGTAATAGGATCAAGTAACCAATCAATAAGCAATGTACAATTAAAAGAAAGTAACAACTTTGCCTCTTGGCACTGACCATCAAAAAGATTATGCTAATCATGCAGGGTGGTAGAAAACTAGAATTTTAAATAAATGCAACATCAACATGGCAAAACATATACGAACTCATTTTCCATCTTAATGCGTATCTTTATAAAACTATAGTTTCTAAATCAAAGTGACACATTCAAAGAAAAAAAAGAATATGATTAATCAATAAAGGAGGGAAAAGGGCTGGCAAGCATGCCAGAACATTAAATTCCCTAATCACACATAGCATACCATGTTTGAACTTTCTCCTTGACTATGAGACGCTAAACATTACAGCAGTTATTTAGGCGTAAAATCAACTTTTTACTTGATTTCTACTGTGGTTTTCTCACATCATATTTATAAGCACAAAGGGCTCAACTTAAAATCTTTTATCCTAAATCACACATACAGAAAACTACCATAAATCATTTCTTGAAACTAAGACCAATTATAAGGGCAATTCAACTCATCAGCCATGATATACCTTAAGATCTTATCAATACTGCAAGTACTATGAAACGGAATAAAAGAGACGAATTTGCAGGCATATAATTCGAATTTTATAAATAGCTTGCAAAAGCTTTTGCTTTTTGTTGTCATTTTTTTGCCAGTGGTTGGCGAGAGTCGGGAGACATGGGAACAGCAAAACAAACC